AATTCTGACTAACGATGGTGGATAACGTGTATCAAGTTAAGAATCGACTTGAACCACATAAACTGTCTTCGAGTTATTTATACTCGCCCAGTCGGACTTTTACCGACAATCACGAGTTTTGGTCGCTTCTGTAAAACATGAAAAATCATATGAGGAATAATGATGTTCATTGAATAATAGGCGAACTGTGGTGCCTCGTTAAAAACCTTCTCAGCCAAAATCCCTCTTATTTTTACGGGGAAAAAATACTGAGTTAGGAAAAGAGTGCACCTAATACAAAATAGAAAGAAAAACTAGCTATAATAGAAGCGTAAATTGGCCGCGTTCCAAGTTCTCGGTATCATCCCTCCATCCAAAGTCCTAAGTCTGTAAGCCTCTTTGCCGACCACGTCGTCAATTTTGTAAGGGCCGACCCACTTAGGTGATAACTTGTTCCTCATCTGTGTTAGCTGAGCACGCCTCAATACTAGGTCGCCGACGACAAAGTCTCTTGGATTTACCTTTGTATTGTACTTGAAGGCTGCTCTTCTCTGGGCCGCTACTTGATTTATCCTTGCCTTTTCTCTTGTCTCTGCGATCAAGTCCAAATCAACTCGTCTTCCCTGGTTGGACTCTTCCTCCGAAAAAGCTGTAGTGCGCGCTGAAGGCTCTGCATTTCGATCGGGATCATGGCGTCGGTTCCGTATACCAGATTGAAGGGAGTGTCTTGGGTCGTTGAATGAACAGTCGTGTGGTACAACCATAGCACTCGGGGAAGCTCTTCCACCCATGAAGTGTAACACCCCAGCAACCCGCATGTGGATATTGTCCGCTTTGGTCGCAGCCCTCACGGTTTTGCTTCTGGCAATGACACACATGCCACCCCAAAACGCGTCCACACAAGGAAGGTATCCACACCCATATATATGGCATGCTTCGTTCTCCTTCCTAACCGATGTGGGACTTCACAATCCACCCCCCTCAAGGGAGTCCAGCGCCCTCGCTGGCACACCGGCCCGGGTCCAGGCTCTGATACCAAATGTAACACCCCAGGAACCCGCATGTGGATATTGTCCGCTTTGGCCGCAGCCCTCACGGTTTTGCTTCTGGCAATGGCACGCATGCCACCCCAAAACGCGTCCACACAAGGAAGGTATCCACACCCATATATATGGCATGCTTCGTTCTCCTTCCTAACCGATGTGGGACTTCACATGAAGCGCCGGAGTCTTGCACACGCTTCTTCAAACCTGTAAGGATTACCTTGTTGGCCGACTCCGCCTGACCGTTAGACTGTGGGTGTTCGACGGAAATGAATGTCATTCGGATGCCGACCTCTTTACAAAAATCCTGAACTCTCGCGCTTGCAAACTGTGTCCCATTATCGGAAACGAGCATTTGGGGGACTCCATACCTGCACACCACATTCTTCCAAAGAAAAGTTCTAACCTTTTCTGCCGAGATGGTTGCAACTGGCTCCGCCTCGATCCATTTGCTGAAGTAGTCCACAGCCACTATCAAGAACTTCAACTGTCTTACTGCAATCTGAAATGGACCGAGAATGTCAATACCCCACTTGTTGAATGGCCAAGGAGACAAAATCGAGTGGAGTCGTTCAGCTGGGGAGTGGTGCAGAGTTGCATGCCTTTGACATCGATCACATTTTTGAACCCAAATGACGCAGTCATTTCTCAGACTCGGCCAAAAGTAGCCTGCCCTTGCCACTTTGTATACCAGAGCTCGTCCTCCAATGTGGCTTCCACACATTCTGCTATGTACCTCGTCCATCACTCTCTGCGCTTGTGACGTGGTCAAACACCTTAGAAGGGGAGAGCTGAAACCTCTTCGATACAATCTTTCATTGATGACTACGAACCTGGCTAACTCCCTCTGTATTAGTGACGCCTCCTTCTTGTCCTCTGGCAATTCCCCCCGAGTCAAGTATGCGATGTACGGTCCCATCCATGAATCGAGCTCTTCTCATATGAAAAGAACGTTCCCCTATGGTTCATTAATACTTGGTTGCGCTAAGGTCTCTTGGATGATCGAGCGGGTGGCTCCCGGCTTTTTTGTGCTAGCAAGTTTGGAGAGTAGATCGACCCTCGAATTTTGCTCTAGTGGTACGTGGTTAAGTGTGAACTCCCGGAAATTTTCCGATAGGAGCTTCACTTTTTCCATGTACTTTGCCAGTTGAGGGTCCTTTGCCTGGAAAGCACCTGCTACCTGCCCCGTGATCAATTGGGAGTCGCTTCGTGCTGATAAACTCGTCGCCCCCATTTCCTTCGCCAATGCCATGCCGGCCAACAACGCCTCGTACTCGGCCTGGTTATTGCTTGCTCGAAATTCGAAGCGCAATGACTGTTCCAACAAAATTCCTCCCGGTCCTACCAAGACGATCCCTGCTCCCCTTCCTCCAAGGTTCGACGCTCCATCCACTGATAGGATCCACTGCGTCTCTCCGACCTCGCCCCCATCGGCGGGAGAGGTCAACTCCATAACGAAGTCGGCTAGTGCTTGAGCTTTGATTGCTCCTCTCGGCTCATATTTGATGTAGAATTCTGATAGCTCGACCGACCACTTCATCATTCTACCAGCCAGATCGGGCTTCTGCAGGACCTGTCGAATCGGATAATCAGTTCAGATTACCACCTCGTAGCTCTGAAAATAGTGTCTCAACTTTTGTGCTGTAACTAGTATTGCAAGAGCCAACTTCTCAATCTTCCGATACCTTGCTTCTGCCCCCTGTAGGACCCTGCTTACAAAGTAGATAGGAGCTTGTGAACCTTCTAGCTCTTGCACAAGAACCGAACTAATCGCCCGATCGGAAGCCGATATGTAGATCAACAAAGGGAGGTTCAGTCGTGGTTTTGTTAGGATTGGCGGTGATTCCAATGATCTCTTGAGTTCTGTGAAAGCTTCTTCACACTCGGTCGTCCAGGCAAAACGATCATTCTTCTTTAGACATTTGAAGAGCGGCAACGCCTTATCGGCCGACCTGGACAAAAATCGAGATAACGACGCCATTCTTCCCGTTAGTTGCTGGACTTCCTTTACCGTGGACGGACTCCTCATGTTGATGATGGCCGAGCACTTTTCTGGGTTTGCTTCAATGCCGCGATGAGTCAGTAGGAAACCGAGGAACTTTCCAGCCTGGACCCCGAAAGAGCACTTATCGGGATTCAACTTGAGCTGGTATTTGTCGATAGTGTCAAACAGCTCCTGCAAGTCGCCAAAATGCCGATTGACGCTTTCTGATTTCACCACCATGTCGTCCACATAAGCTTCTACATTCCGACCCAGCTGATTCACAAGGACCTTGTCCATCAGTCGTTGGTAAGTCGCCCCCGCATTCTTTAAACCAAATGGCATGACCCTATAATAGAAGTTGGCTTGATCGGCTATGAAGGCGGTCTTGTCCTCGTCTGCGGGATGCATTCGGATTTGGTTGTACCCCGAATAGGCATCCATAAAGCTCAGCAACTCGTAACCCGACGCCCCATCTACCAAGCAATCTATGTTTGGCAACGGGTACGAGTCCTTCGGACAAGCCTTACTAAGATCGGTGAAATCCGTACACATTCTCCACTTCCCGCTACTCTTGCGCACCATGACTACGTTCGCCAACCAGGTCGGGTATTGGATTTCTCGGACATGTCCTGCCATTACTAACTTTTGTGTCTCTTCCGCGATCGCCCTTCTCTTCTCCTCGCCGAACTTCCTTCTCTTCTAAATCACCGCCTTCGCGCTAGGGTCTAGAGCCAGTTTGTGGCACAAGAAGTCTGGATCAATCCCGGGCATGTCGCTAGAATGCCATGCGAATGCCGACACATTGTCTTTCAGAACCCTGATTAGCTTTTCTTCATCCTGAGGGGTTAAAGACGTGCCTATCTTCACGTTTCTCCCTTCCATTATCTCCACTTCCTTGACATCTTCTACGGGGGCAGGTCGATGATCAAACTGACACATCCTAGGATCCAACTCGACGGAATGGATGTGTTTCTCGGTTGGAGCTGTAGCTAATCGCCTTCTCGCCTTCAGACTGTCCACATAACACTTTCGGGCGACCTCCTGATCTACCTTGCGGACCTCGACTCCTCCATTCGGCAATGGGTATTTCACCTTCAGATGTGATGTTGACACTACGGCTCCCAGTTTGTTCAGCGTTGGTCGGCCGATGAGTATATTGTATGACGATTGAGCATTCACCACTAAATAACGGACCGTTACCGTCTTCATCTGCGAGCCCTGTCCGAAGGTTGTTTCCAAGTCGGCGTACCCTCTTGCTGTAACCTGGTCTCCCGCAAAACCTACTAGGGTTCCCGTGTAGGGTACTAGTCGGTCGTTTGGGATCTTCATTCCCACGAACGCATCCCAAAAGAGAATGTCAGCTGAGCTCCCCTGGTCGATCAGGACGCGCTTCACATTATAGCCCATCACTATCGTCGAGATGACGATGGGGTCATCCTCATGAGGGGCTACCCCTTCATAGTCGGCATCCGAGAATGAAATTATGGGTTGCACTGGTCGGTGGATCTCCGATACTGACATGACGGAGCGAGTATACCTTTTCCGCGCAGCCGAAGTGACTCCCCCTCCTGCAAATCCTCCTGCCACTGTATTGAAATCCCCATGTATTGCTTGCTGATGGATCTCCGACGAACTTGCTGGAGCGTCCTTGGTGGGGGTTCTCTCTCTGTGCCTATCCCTCCTTGTGTCGTCCTGTGCGTGTCTGTGTCGCCTATCTGACGAGCCTTCTTCCTGTTTTCGTGCTACAAACTTTTTCAGGCGTCCCTCCTTGATCAAGTGCTCAATCTGTTTTCTTGATAGAGTGTCCGTGCGTCCTGTGAAACTCACACCAATTGGTCTTGAAAGGACCCAATTGGCGCTCCGTCGCTGCTGGGAATTCGAACAATGCTGCGCTATTGACATAATGGAGTATCTGCCTCCTAGGGGCGTTGAGTGGGGTGAACTTCTCCTCATCGTTGGTACGTGTCCACTCGCCCCTTGGACGACTTCCCCGATCAGCCTCGGTAATTGCCCTCTTTCATATTATAGCGGTCGTGTCGTTTATTCCAGTCTGAACGTGGTCGAAGATGTTTGCTGCTCTCCTTGTTACTTCTGCCTGCCTCTTCTCGGCTTTCGGCAGCTCTTTTATTAATTTGTCCTTCCTCCGTCTTGATGTGACTCAAGGCGAAAGCCCTCACCTCCGACATCGTTTGACAATTCGCTCTCTCCAGCGCGATGTCGAAGGCCCCGGACCTTAAGCCTTTCTGGAACGCGATAACAGCCATCCTCTCATCCAAGGACGCTATCCTCAGGGCGACTTCGTTAAATCTCTGCAAAAAATCCTTCAACGACTCCTCTCGCCGCTGCTTGAGATCGAACAAGTCCGACGTGATTGGCGGCTTCTTCTTATTAGCAGCAAATTGGGCCATAAAGAGCCGACTGAAGACATCAAAGTCGGTGATCGACCGGTCAGGGAGACCACTGAACCAATCGAGTGCCGCCTTTTTGAGTGTTCCCATAAATAGTTTGCATCGTACTTCCATGCTCCCTCCACAGATCAACATTTGGGCTCGGAAGTCTGTCAAGTGCTGCCTGGGATCCTGCGTTCCATTGAAAGGTTCCACTTGGGGTATCCGATGGTCCCTGGGGATGATCTCGGCTTCTATGGCTTCCGAGAAGGGTCGAAAATCCCTAGGGACTTCCATCATGACATCTTCATCCACCGTCCTGGTACTGGCCGCAATTTTGGCCTGCATCTCGTCCGCACGCCTCCTGATCTCCTCGTTTTTGCGTTGAATGGCCTCCTCTCTCTCCCTGGATCGCGCATTCTCCTCCCTTAAGCCATTGATCATGGCCATCATCTCCTCCATGGTTGGTGGTTGTGAGTTGTTGTTGTTGTTGCCGCCTCTCGCCATGGTAAAGTGTAGGTTTTTTGTGTTTCTTGGGGCGTAGGAAGAGTTTCACCGTAGCCCCACGGTGGGCGCCAAAATGTTCCGGCCAAAGGGTGGACTAGGGTTTTTTCCTAGATCGTGCCTTAGAGCCAGAGCATTCAAAAGTGTAATCTGCCTTCTCAACTCTAGGGTTTTGGGTTTTATGGTACGTCGTTAATGGGCCTCTTGGGCCCTGAGAATGAAGGGATTTCCCTAACCGTTCTTATCTTGTTGGTGCGGGGTTAAAGGGGATAAGTCTAGTCGGGTTTTGACCGACTGGGTCCGCGCCGAGGACGCAGTCGGGTTAATGCCGAGTGGTCTCCTTAGTCCTTATAGGCGAGAGGAGTCGAGTTCCCCAGGTCGAGTCGAGTCATGACCGACTAGGTCTGTGCTGAGCTCTCGGTCAGGTTAGTGCCAAGTAGGCATAGTCACCCTACTGCCGAATAGAGGTGCAGGTTGGATTTCGACCTGGACGGCACTATAACATATTCATGATTTATATCCACGGTTAAATTTTCATTAATGACTAAAATTAATTATTACTTACTTTATCATTTAAATTGAGCCGTTTATTTTAGAAGATCAGATCCTAATAAATTAGGGGTATATGACTAATAAACAAAAGAAGTTAAGTAGTGTATTTACAAATTAAGATTTAATGGATAGAAGAATTAGAGATGAGTATGCGCCCTAATTCAAGTACGATACCCCGTACCGGGCAACTGGAGCTCCAGCAATAAAAATGAGTCACATGTTACCTATTTAAGATCAGATTATTATAGTTGGTGAAAAATTGGTGTAAGACAATGACCCTGGAAAAATATGAATCTTGAAGGATCTTTTTGTTTTATTCATGCACACAGTGTTAGGCCATGTGCTAATGATAGGTGCCATGCAAAGCTTTCAAGTGTATGGATCGGTACAGATTGCAGTCTCTATCCCCAGGGTAAGGGTAGAGCAGGGAAGAACATGGGAACAGTTTCATATGATTCGGACTTCATGTACTTTCTCTTCCATTTCAAGTATCAGACAACCGACATCCTATTTTCCTCTTAACTAAGGACCTCACCGAGGGGAGGCAGGCACAGTGCACAAATTTGTTCCATATGTCGTGATTTTTACATCTTACTACTTACTAGATCTCATGATATTCGAAACATATATATACTTGGACACCGTGAGAGAGATAAATAATATGGTTTGATATAAAAACAGTTATGAAATGTTCAAAAATAATTGCTCTATAATATATTTGTAACAATTTTATTTGACAAGAATTTGTTCAGAAAACAAGAGTGTTGACAAATGGCAACACATAAGAAGTTCATTTCTAATTCGTTAATCTTATAATTGGTGTGAATGTTACCTACTTTAGCTGATAAGGACTTCGTTGCTAAATTGATAGTGGCTTAAATGTTTTTAAGAATTGTTAATTTCAGAAATTCAGTTACTCACCAAAACATGTATAATGTTCATCCTAGCATACGAATCTGTTGGGCACCTTCAACCTCTACGTACGAACCTGTCTTCTTGTTAATGTTACTCACTGTGTCGCTCACATTCAACGATGTTCTGCTATGATCGAAACCAACCTCCCATAACACATCTCCTCTTGATAAATGGGTCAATCCAAATGACATTTGACTCACTTGAGTATCATTGATTTTCATTGTAAGCGTCTAATAATTTTTAACATTTAGAGAATTTAATTCAAAAGCACCAACAAAGGCACTAAGTTTTTATTTGTTGTAAATTTATAAATGAACTTAATTTATTTTTCTAGTTTCACATTGTGATTTCATGGTGTTGGATCGATCTTCTAGAAGTCTTGCACATTAATAAGCATTAATTATCTGTGTTGGGTATCCTATGTATGACATGGCGAAACTTACAATAAAGGCCTCCGAATGGTTAGAAGTAAAGGTGGTGAAGGTTCATATATGGACTCGGAAGTTAATGAGCTAAGAGCGTAAAAAGTGAGACTGCAGAAAGCTTTGATGGATGAACCCTGTCCAAACAATGTGTCAACTGTTGAATACAGTAGCCCACGTTTTCAGGGAGGCTAATAGATGTGAGATGCTTTGCCCAACATGTTTTATAAACACAAAAATGAATAACAAAAAAAATAAATAAATTTTGTATAAGCTAAAATTAATTTATGCATAAATTTAAAATAAATTTTTGAATAAATAAATTAATATGAAAAAAATGTCTTATTTTTCTTAATTGTTTATTGAGATTAGTCTTTTTTTTACAAGATCTAATGTCATTTCTGCTTAGTATTTTTTAAAATCTTTTTCTTTGGGATTAGGCCTGCTGTTAAATCCAAAAAATAAATAAATAAACACTTATTGAGTTAATTCGGTTGGAACATAAATGTTTTACAACTCCTTACACTACATTTTATTCACACTTCTGTTGTCAATTTATATTTTAGCGGTCGAGCTAGTGCTCGCAGAGTAGATTTTTGTAAGTGTTCAATTTTAAATTAATATTTTGTTAGTAAAAATTATATTTTAAGAATGTATATTAGTTTTTAGTAATCAGTTTTTAAATATGTCCATAAAAAGAAGAAGAAAAAAACATATAACAAGAAATCTAATGCAAAGAAAATGTTAGGATAAACAGAGTGTTTTTGAGTGTGAGAAAATGAAAACTTTTTTTATAAGCCAATTCGATTAAAAATAACACATATAATGATGGATTTAGAATAAATATTTTGTGTGAGGAAACGATATTATATCTCTTACTTTACAGTAGATTTTTTTTTTTTTAACTGGGGGGACATGTCATGACTGAAATTACAAACCACTGGCAGCAAAAAAAAAAGTAATAAAACAGATTCATTAGTTTTGTTTGAAAAAATTGAAAACATTAAAATTAGCCTTCGGAATAGAGCTCATTCGAAGGTTATATATACATAAGGATTTTTGAATTGAAAATTTCAATTTTTATCTGCATTAATTTTTTTCTCCAATTTTTATTTCAGATTTTTATTTCTTTATTTTGTTTCAAGTTAAAGAAATAAGCATGATGATATTTTTATTTTTTTATTCTATATTTTTATTTTTAAAATTCTATTAAAAGGAAAACTTTTTATTTTCGGGAGAAAAAAAACTGTAGTCATCATTCAAGCTACCAAAATGCGGGACTCAACCCAAATTGTTTAATTAGTCATTAAAGTCATCGCTATACAACTTAAGTTTAAGTCTATCATAATGCACCTAGTTACATGAGAACTTAGCCATATTTATTTGGGCTGGTTGACTACTTGGACCAAGGGATTAAAAAGCCCATATGCAATCAAATGCTATATACAAGTTACTAAAGATGAGTCCCATTATTCTTTCATTAGTCATATTCTGTACAAGTTACTAAAGGTTGAACATGTTTTACTATATTTATATTTATTTAATCACTTATACACCGTTAGTGTAAAAAAAATTTACATTGACAATCAATTATATTTTTTAATTGTGTCATGTCACTGTTAAAAATAAATATATTTATAATGACATGACATAATTAAAATATATAATTGATTATCAGTGTAAAAAAAATTTACACAACAGTACATAGACGATTAACTCATTTATTTATGGTGACTTTTGTGGCCACGTTAGGTGCAGCTTCCACTCATACATATAAATATAACGCTTACTAAATCATCTTGGCTTGTAGGGTCTTCTTGCATGTTGCCCTTCATTCTGTTCTCTTGTTACAACAGAAAAAGACAAAAAGTTAAATATAACAAGAATTGAATAAAAATTTAGTACTATATTACTTTTTAAAAAAAATGGAATTGAGTGAAGGTATATGTCCCCCATATTGTTCAAATGTGGGTCCCCCATATTGTTTAATATGTGGGTCATTCATTCTCCGATTTAAAGGCTTAATTGTAGTTTTGATCTCTAAAGTATTGTAATTATATAATTTTTATCCCTAAAGTTTTTATTGGGTAATTTTAGTTCCTAAAGAATTGTAATTGTACAATTTTAGTCTTTCAACTTTTAATTGAACAATTTTAGTCCCTCAAATATCATAATTGTACGATTTTAGTCTCTCTCATTAAAAATTTAATAATTTTAATATATATATATATACTACATATATATATATACAATATTTTAAAATTATACAATTATTTGTCTATTCAAGTTAACATATATTATAATTTTCATTAATGTATCAAATAATATATATTTATTATTACTAAATAAATAAAATTTATATATTATTATTTTTATAATATTACTAATAAATTAATATCAATAATATTATTAATATATTTATAGATAAACTAATAATTTGATAAATATAACTTATTATATATTACTATACTTTTACAAAAATATAAGTATATTAATTAGAAATATACATATCTTATCTAATATATTTATATTTTTGTAAAAGTATATT